ATTCCTTTGTGCCAGTGCTTATTTTGTTTGGACCATTCCATACTTAAAATATAGAGCTTAAAATTTCAGCCATGGATGTAAAACAGCAACATACTTGAGGGAGTTTATCATGTTGGGAAAAGGAGGACACCAGAGGCAGACCCCATTATCTAATAATGAACTGCACAAGTGTCTTGGGATCCCGAGGATATTAAAATCTGCAACATTAGCTGAGGCTGGGATGGATACCATGAGGGTGGCCCACAGCCCTGTGCATGCAGTGTGTTTTGTACTTGGCAATTGTGTGTTCCCACTGATTTGTGGATCTCGAAAGAAAATAGAAAAACAAGGTCTCCAAATACCTCTTGTTTCTTACTAATATGTCTGGAATACAATCATGGATAGCACTGATGGAGTCAGTTAAAAGTTAAAAATAAAAAAATAAGTTTTTTTTTTTTTAAATTAAAATAAATAACTTTCTGTCTGTGCTTCACAAAATGTCTCAGTAGCATTAACTCTTTTAACCACCTGTTTTATGAAAAAATGTTTGTTAAAAAATAACACAACCCATTAAAAATATTATACTGTTAGCCAGTGGAACCCCAGAGCACTGCATACACAACCAAAATTCATTCCCACTCCTTAGAAAATGTGATCTAAAAATTAACTCTTATAGTGAGCTGTTTCCTTTGAAAAAGTGGGCACACATTGTACTCCTGGTTGAGACCCTATACACCCATGAGTTCCAAAAAATAAATGAAAGAAAAATTATTTAAAACACTCTCTTAAAAATAAATACATGTCAAAAAGAAACTAGAAGCATAAAAAAAATAAAATTACAAAATAAAGTACACATTACACTATTTAAAAAATCCCATGAAATTATATCATTGAAATCAGCTAATATTTTTTCATAAAAATGTATATAAGTACAAATGTTATAAAAAAATAAATATACACATATTTCTGTGGAGATTAGTAGTGGAATTACGAAAAAATTAATAAAATAATTGTAAATATTTTTTTTTTTTGTTTTGTATTTCGTTTTTCTAGAAATAACAATTAATCCAAGAAATTTAAATAACCATTTAATAAAAAAATGATTTAAAAAAATATATTATGTAATGAAATTCCTCATGAAAAGCATTATTTTGGAAAATCTAAAATTATATCACTGAAAACAGCTAATAGTTTTCTTCTTAAAAATTTCTACTTACACCAAATACTGTCCAAAAAGAAATTAAAAATACATAAAAATATATTTCTGTAGAAATTAGTCATGGACGAAGAAATAGTAAAATATCATTAAATATTTGAAAACTTAGTGTGGTCTGTTCATTTTGAAAGAGTGGGATGAATAATACGTAATTTTAGTTCACCTCCTATAGGTGTATATATAGGTACTAAAAAACTGTTACCAAGTAAGTCAAGAAGCATTTAATAAAAAAGCATTTAAAAAAATAAATATAGATAGATAAAACAGATAAAAGTCATAGAGACAGAGTGTAAATAGAGTATAAATAAATATTACAATAAAAGTACCATTATTAAAAAAACAGCTGATAATATTGCTTAAAAATTTTATAAATAAATAAAATATATACATATTTTGTAGAGATTAATAGCGGATGAAAAGCCAAATAAAGTATCAGTAAACCATTTGAAAATATTGCTGTGAAGCAACAAAGATATTATAGTCTATCATCAACCCCAAGCAATAAGGTCTCTAAGAAAATAAATAAAATCAGTGAATTAGCAAGCAAAATTTACTAGCTTCGGAAAAACTATCAAAAACAATAAACTACCTATATTAATTTTCTAAATGTAATTATTTTGTTTAAATGAATCTTTTGTAAAAACAACATCTAATCTAATACATCTAACAAGTGCTTTTATAAAATAAATGCAAATATATTTAGAAAAAAATAATCAATTCACAATTAATAACATAGACTATAGAGAAATATTTCACAAACTTAAAAAACAAGGAACCAGTATTTTAGTTTTTAGGGTTTAGATCAGTTTCAAGACAAAAATCAGCTGATTATCAATATAAATTTCACTAGTTATTCTTCATTAAATATTTCACTAATTAAAGCAGCTACAAGCAGATGCAATTCTGTGTTTTACAGCTTTCTAAACTTTATTTAGATTATTTTATAAAATATGTAATACATAAGTATTCCCCTATTATATAATATCTTTAAGAAAAACCATATCAAATGCACTACTATTAGAAATATATTCTTCAGAAAATTAAGTGATTATTATATATTCACTTATATAAGGCTTTTATTTCTAAAATACTATATAAATCAAGGTATCTAAGTCTAAAAATTATTTATTTTAATACATAGATATCCTGTACAACCATAAAAACTCAAATTTAGAAAACTGTCAATCCACAGCAAATTACATCTTTTTATAGCAAGCAAAAATTATAAAAAAGTGAAAATTTTTGTACACTGCCCAATAAAATTTCGACCAATCAGAAAAGAATAAAGAAATTACGTTACATTTAGCCAATAGAATTGCTTTCAAACCAACCGCTTTAAGAGGGTCCGATTTGTCGAAAAATATCAGGAAATTCATAGGAAAATGGTTGTACTTACCATCTCTCGAGTCCAGCTGGGCCCTACCCGCGATTGTACCGCGCAAAATGTGTAAAGGCGCACATTCACTCCCGGAGTGCAGCACGTCTGGATACAGCGCCCGAGCTCAGGTACGACCTGGGCTATATGACGTGTCCAGACCCATACCGATCCTTGGTCCATTCCATCCAAAGGCAGCCTGGTTTCTTATTTGCGACTTGAAGATATGTTGCTGTGATGTTCCTCATCTCCTTCTTCACTGGCAGAGTGGTCCTTGGATATCCGTAACCCTGGATAATTTCTGACATAATCTGAAACAAGACAAAATATCTTTTTACTTACATAGTTCATATGTTAATAATTTTCTATATACAGAATTACGCCAAAATTTCAAATAGATCATCTAATTCTATACTATACAGGGTCCGGCAAGCATATTTGTAAACAACGTCCATGATCGCGACTCCTAAACTCTATTCAGATTATTTTATAAAATATTTTAGCAAGATTTATTACATACGTATTCTTCTATTATATAATATCTTTAAGAAAAACCATATCAAGTGCACTACTATTAGAAATATTCTTCAGAAAATTAATTGACTATAATTTATTCACTTATATAAAGTTTTTATCCATCAAACTCTTAAAAAAAAGTCTGAAAATGATTTATTTTAATACAGTACAACCATAAAAAAGAACTATTTATAGCAACAGAACGTATAAAAAAGCAAACAGAAAGAAACGGAAAGTTTAACAAAATACAGGTGGCTTTGACTTTTTTTGTTGATCTTGTACCTCTACCGGCCGCCTTTAGATGGTCGGGTTTTTCGAAAAATATCGAGAAATTCATAGGAAAATGGTTGAACTTACCCTCTCAAACAGTCCAGCTATGCACTACACATGCTTTCCGAGCACAATATACAAAGAAAATACACTTTTCCTTAAAAATTCTGGAGAAGCAACCGACAAAGATGTTACATCGTCAACGGTCTGTCTAAAAATGGCGAAAATCGACTGAAACGACCAATAAAATCGAGTTTTGGCGCTCGGTTTCTGATTTTTGACGCTAGAGGGAGCGCCAACTGGCGCTTTTCTTCTGTTTACCGATGAAAAATTATGTAATTTTACGACCTAAATTTCAAGTTTAAATGAAAATTTAGCAATATAACGCTACATTGGAGACAAAACTACTACCAGGGAAATGTAGCTACGTGTTTTCCGAATAAAATGACACCAAGCAATAACCGAATAAAGCAAAATTCACATAGATATCCCATTTTAATTACCCCAATGTCCCTAATTGTTAATATCATAAAAAATGGATTTTTGCCTTAAAAAAGATTTTGAAGCTTTAAAATAGTTAAGGAATTATAGATTATCATTAAATATAGCTAATTAAACAGTTTCAGACCTATTAAAGCCATATAAATTAAAATAAAATTCAAAAATATATTGGCGGTTTGGTAGCCTTCAGAATCTTCAATTAATATAACTTTGTTGTTCGATATTTTCCGAAATAACGTAATATTTAGTTAAATAGAGACTTATTACATCTATAAATTATAAAACAAGGCAGTAATACCCCTATTTATAACTTCTACAAGACATTTTCTTAGTCAATGTAATGGCCAAGATTTTTTACTGTTATTTCAGCAATTTTGCTATGAAATCAATAAAAAACTTTATTTAACATGATTCTGTGCTGTAAAAAGTATGTATTTGTAGATTTTTAACAATTTCCAACCCCCAAAACAACACAAGAGTAAACAAGAATTTGTTGCCTCTTCGATACAAAATTTGTTCGATTAAAAAGCTTCAAGCACTATGTGTAAACAGGATGTTTTCAATATATAGTCTAAAAAATACAGGATTTGATTGCTCATGTATTTTTAAGAAAAAAAAACTTATATAAACATATATAGGGTTTAAAGTGTTCCCTGTCTGATCTTCAGGGTGTTAAAAATCTTTAAAAAAATATCTTTATCTTTTACTCTTTAGAAGGGAGATGGTGGTTTATGTCGTAGAATACATTACAGTATTTAATATCCTGTACTTGGTATATTGATATATATATATGATATTGGTATATTTATGATTATTCTGTTCTTAATTTACTGTAATTTCTTGTTTCCTGTAATGCCAAAATAAAATCTTGACAATATGGTGAAGGTTAAATTTTGAGCGTCGTGGATTGATATTAAGATATTTTTTATAATATTTCTAGGTCAGCCACCGAATTCATACCCTTACCGTAAAATAAGAAATTTTTCCATAAGAAAAATGTCTTTTAAAGCTATAATTCAGATTAATTTATTTTTAAATTAATTAATTGATCATTTCTATTTTGTTCTAAATTTAATCTGTGGCTAAAATAATCTCCGGCTGTCACTTTGACGTTTATTTGTTTTGAAAAAAGTTATTTCCATATGATTTACGATTTCTGCTGTGGATTTCTGTTTTTTGGCTTTTCGAAAAACAACTTTCTAAAATGCTTCGTATTTAACTCGAAACCAGATGTTTTGAATTAATTGTCGAGAATGCGACAAACGTCCACAAAACAACTCGTCAGGATATCCAATCTAAACAGAAATCTTATCAGGTACTTTGTGATAATTTTGGAAAACAAAATTTACGTTTTATGTTGATTCTATCGCACAAACACCCAAGATAATATTGAATAATTTAAGTTTGCTAAAGAAGGTCAAACATGTTTCATTACAATTGCTAATTACACTTGAAGCAGACACATTATAAAAGTATATTTATATTAAATTTTGGAGAATTTGTCATGTCTCTGAACAACTTTTCAGTTACAATTTTAAGAGGTAGGTCATTTTTATTTGTTAAGTTATTTTTTAATGCTCTTTTTATTGTAGAAGTTCTAAAAAATGGCACAAGATCTTTTAGTTTGCACCAGTTGTCTGAACAGCATTTATTATTACAGAAAACATGCAAGGATTTTGCTACGAAAGAACTAAAACCCATAGCAAGTCAGCTAGATAAAGAAAATAAATATCCTACAGAACAGGTAGTTAAACAGTTATTTAACAATAATATTTTTAGTCATATGATGTGTTTTAGATAAACAAACTAGGTAAATTAGGATTATTAGGCATAACAGCCGATCCAAAATATGGAGGTAGTGGAGAAAGTCTGCTTGGACTTGCTGTAGCTGTTGAAGAAATATCCAAAGGCTGTGGAGGCACAGGTGCTATAATTTCAATACATAATGCTTTATATGTTAACTTACTAAATAGACTGGGCACTGAAGAACAGAAAGAATGTTTTTTAAGACCCTTTACTCAGGAAAGCATTGGTTGTTTTGCTCTTAGCGAACCAGGTAAGTACTAGAAAAACCTTTCAAACCTATATATATAAAAAAATTAAATTCTTAGATGCAGGAAGCGATGTAAGTGCTATTTCAACCACGGCAGTACTCGAGGGAGACCATTACATATTAAACGGTACAAAATCGTGGGTTACCTCTGGGAATGTGTGTAAAGCGGCTGTGATTTTTGCCACAATCGATAAGTCTTTGAAGCACAAAGGTAAATTTTCATTTTGCTTAATTTCAAGTTTATTTTTTCATTTAGTTTTTAGGTATTACAAGCTTCCTGGTGCCTGTACCGACACCAGGGTTGTCTTTCGGTAAACTCGAAGATAAAATGGGTATTAGGGCTTCGCCGACTTGTGATTTTATTTTGGAGAATGTCAGGGTTCCTAAAGAGAATGTAATAGGTAAAAAAATGGTAAAAGAATGTAGTGTGGTAATTTTTGAGTAAAAATGTGAGTTTTTAGGAGATGTTTGTGGTGGATTTTTGGTAGCTATGAACCAGTTGGAGAGAGCCAGGGTTGGGATAGCTGCACAAGCTTTGGGGATAGCGCAGGCCGCTTTGGAACTGGCTGCAAAATATGCTTTAGAAAGGAAAGCCTTTGGACAACCTATTGGAAATTTACATGCAGTAAAGGTAACTGATTTTTTACATTGAGACTTGATAATATTATCAATTAAACATAACAGTTAAACTTATTTTTAAATTCCATTTTAATTTGCCAAATTATTTGGACTTTTGACAGTATTTTTTATTTTAAAATATTACTTACTTACTTGAGTCTCAATGTTTTATACAATTTCCATCAGGAAAAAGCCTTTTCATTTAAATAAAAACACCTGAAAAATATATTTTTTTGTCAAGTTAAATTTAGTGTATTATTGGTTGCATAATACTAAAAATTATACTGATCAATTTTAATTTGTCAAATTTTTTCAACTTTTGAATGAAATTTATTTTAAAATATAATTTACCCACAATTGACTTTGTTTTTTCAATTTTTATTAAATTTTTATCAGGAAAAAGCTTTTTTGTTCAAAGAAAACCACCACCATAGAGAAATAATTTTTTTAAAGGAAATTAAATTTAGCTCGTGTATTACTGGTTGCGTAAAACTAAAATTTTTGCTGATTTACAGCAAGTTGGATTTACAGGGGGTCCCCAAAAATTCTACACCAGGTTTCTGATTTGAGATTTTTGTTTAATAACGTCATGTTATATTCTATACCGAGTGGTTTTTGAAATATGACCACTATCAAACTTATATATTTGCTACCTATTTAAAGCTCTCTCAAAATTCTAAAATCAAAAAATGTTCATACTATTTATTAATTGGAAGTAAACTGGAAGTAACTGGTATAAATACTGTCTTCTCATAAAATTCAAATTACTTAAATATTTGCAATGTTGTTTAATATACAGAGTGGGTCAAAATTAAATGATGCGTTTTTTCTCCGCTAGTTCAAATGGAACAAAATACATGATATGTTGGAAACTCTTTTAGTTAGCTGAATATTGAAGTTTGTAATTTATTCTGGGATGTGATGATTTTTGTTGTTGAAATTTTAGTTGAGGCTGTCTGAAATGGCAACAAGGCTGGAATCGGCAAGGCTATTGGTCTGGAGGGCTGCGGTGTTGACAGATGAACAATCTAGGTCGACAAAATACACGTCTATGGCCAAATTGGCTGCTAGCGAGGCAGCTACCTTTGTAACACATGGTGCTATTCAAATTTTAGGAGGAATGGGGTAAGATCTTTATAAAAAAAAGTTTTGCTGTTTGACCTGATATTAATGGTAATTATTAATTTTTTTCAGTTATGTTAAAGATATGCCCGCAGAAAGACACTACAGGGATGCCAGAATTACCGAAATTTACGCGGGCGTCAACGATGTACAGAAGTTATTAATTGGTGACATGGTTCTTAAGGAGTATAAATAAATTAATATATAATTTATTAGTTATGAAGATTAAATTTGTTTGTCAGCTGTTTTTTATTTGTTCTAGTTTTTTAATTTTTAATTTTTAGTGTAATTTTTTTAGAAAATTTCTAGATTTAATATAAGATAAAAAGTTCCAAAGTTTTTTATTAATGACAAATTGAAAACAGCTGGCTATTATGGTGTATTTTGTACTGAAAATTTTATATTTAAATGTTGTAAAGTATTTCTTCAAAAAATAAATTTATTTTTAGAAATGTGTTATTTTATTACATACGATAGAAAAAAACGGCGTCAATGATGTAAAAAAACATATTTAGTTTGTAAAAAAAGTATATTTAAAAAAAATATTTTTTCCATCACAGTTTTACAGATTTTGGCAATAAATTAATCTAGTCTACTTTACACTTTAAAAAAAAGATGGCGCGTTCCGAGAAAAAAAAACACCGTCACAGTAGGCATAGATAGAAATAACGATGCCTACCGTGACGTCGATTTTTTTTCGATCGCACCGTATATATGTCAAAAAAGTACTAAAATCTCATGTTGGGACTCTTGAAAGTTCTGCCTTCTTTGGCGTCTTGCACGCACTCTACGCGGGCTAGATTGAAGTAGATGTTGCCCAGAAGGTTTGCGACCGGTATAAACTGCTGTTTTTTGAGGCAATCGTACAGTCTCTGGTCGCATTCGCAGTGGGACTTCGTGTAGAGGGAATTGTTGTTGAGATTGTACCTTTGGGTTCCCGATCTGACTTTTATGGGACATAGATCGTGGGTTCTACAGCAGGCGTCTACGCTGGATTGGGCTCCTAGGTCGAAGTAGTTCTTGGCTATGTCGCCGGTGCCACACCATTTTGTTCCTGTTTGGGAAAAGAATGGAATTAATCGGCTATTCAATTTTAAATGAGAATAAAATACTGTCTATACTATATAGTACTATTTTTGTGTAAATACTGTTTTGCTCTTTCTGTTCCTAGGAACCGCCGAGCCACCCTGAAAATTTGACTAAGTTTGATGTTGCATAACTTTTTATTTTGTAATCCGAGTTTTATGATTATAGTATCAGTGTGAAGATAAATTTATTGTCATTATTTTTTATTATTTTAATGGCTTGTATTCTTCGGTTAAGTGGGTTTATACCGGGGTAAATCAAAACCTTGTTTTTTGCAAATATATATTTATATTTATAATATATTTATAAATCCACCTAACCGAAATATATAAAAGACATTAAAACAATAAAAAATAATGCCAACAAATTTATCTACAAACTAATACCACAATCATAAAAATCAGATAACAAATTAAAAAGTTAAGAAATATCAAACTTAAGTCAAAATTTTAGGGTGGAGGAATTTTGTGCCGGAAAGTTTAAATCCCTATAAAGTGATACCAACTAAAAGAAGGATACACTATATTTTTTCAATATATCTATACTCACCAGGTATGATTCCTCTAAACAAAGTAAATGGATCATTTGACAGTATGCTCCTGGCTTGATCGATGGCTTTGGTTGTTTTGTTCTGTACCCCTGGACCTGGTTCTTTGATCAAACCACTCATTTCATCTAGTTCTTTGCACTGATCCATCAATGTTAACATCTCCAAGAAACTGATACCAACTGGCCTAGCTGTTGATTCTAATTCACCAAGAACTTTCAAATACTGATCCGTCTCACTAGAAGAAACATAATAATATATAGGGTGTGAAAGAAGGAACGAATAATGTACAATATTCAAATGGAGTTTTATATCGTATACAGGGTGTTACATACTTGCAATATTGTGCTAGAATTTTTTATTCTTAGACTAATTTAAAATACAAAATTTTATAGTGTATAACAGTCAATTTAGATATCTAGTACTTCTTTGTCCCAACAACTTTTTTTCTACGTAAATTAGATAACAGAAAAAAATAACCTCTAGTCACCAACTGCCAATTCAAAAGCCACTTTAACGAATTTTTATCGTTTACACTGTATACCGGGTGCGTCTCAAAAGCGGCTCATTCAGAGCGCCTTTTTCTATCGAATAAAGTAAAAAATACCGAGGGTGCTTAGAAATTAAAAGTTGCAGTAATTTCCGGTGAAACAGGAAGTGACTGAAAATAATTAAATGCGTCAATCAATCCTAATTTATGTCATATACTAACATACCAAATCGCGTTTTTTTATCTGAAAAAATAAAAAAGTTATAGGGGGTGAACCACTTTTGAGACACACCCGGTATTGTTTTGATTTTTTTAAAAAATCGAAAAATAATAAGACATTTAAATGTTTAGACCTCTAAAAAAGTAATGTTCTATTGTTTTATGTTCTATAATTCTATTAAAAAATATATTTCTTAATAAGGTTCCAAAACAAAATATGTGCGAAATTTTATAGACAAAATTTATCTTTTTTTTTCTTAATAAACCTTGAAACTATTGTAAAATGGCACATTTATTTTCATTAGTATAAAATGTCCATAATATCTGATTTCCCAATTTCTTGACACAACACAGTTTTACAACAATTAGGCACATTCATTTTGCAACAATTACAAATTAAACACATTTCAGAATGCATTATGACTAAATAATCCATACAAATTATTTTGTTTAATTATAATACAAGTCTGGGAACAAAGTTAGGCTAAAAACAATTTTAAAATAACCTAATTACATATAGTTTGTGCCATTTAACGAAATGTTCTGGTAAATATTTATTATCGCAAAGACAAAAGTAAAAAGATAGTTAATCATTGAGTGTATTAGCTATGTTAATTCAAGGCTATAGTACCGTATATGGATAATATAATAATTATTATACATAACGCAATGTTTCTTGCTAGCAATTATGTATTAAATGGTAATAAGATAGAGAATTTGGCTGTAAAAGTTGTGTCTTTCTTCTTAGAGAAGAACTGCAAATATTATATACAGGACCAAACCTATATACTTGTCTTAATCTATATCTATACTAATATATAAAATCCTTAAATGACTGACATACTGATTAATCACGATCCTGCTCAAACCACTCAACGTAAGAAGCTCAATTTTAGCATACAGGTTGATTCTAGGGTGTAGAGGTTCGATAAGAAGGGATTTTTCGAAATTACAGTTCCAAGAGGGTGAAACCACCCCTCAAATATTACAATATTTTTTATTTAAAAAACGGTCCAGTTTCCGAAAAAACGCTTAAACACGTATATTTTATTCTAGAACAAACGGATTGACTGTGGGGTGTAGAGGTTCGATAAGGAGGGGTTTCTCGAATCTCAAATTCCAAGAGGGTAAAAACGCCCCTCAAATATTACAATATTTGATATTTAAAAAACGGTTAGTCTTTCGGGAAACGCTTGGACAAGCATAATTTATTTGGTTTTTTTACATATTTTGAAATCTTTTAAAAAATCATACAGAGTGTTCCAAAGAGTTGGGTAATTTCTTAACCACGATTCTGCTTAAACTGCTTGACGTACCTAAAAAGCTTATTTTAATATTACATTCTAATATGACTCTTTTGCTTGATTTTTTGTTTAACTAAAAATATACGCCTATATATTGTAATATGGGAAACATAGTACTTTTATTTTCACAAGCTAGAATGAAATACTTACAAGGATCCTTTTGTTTATTGTTAAATTTGATGTGAACAAAACCTGATTGATTCTTTTTTTCAATAGATTTATTCAAATTAATTGTAATTTACTTTGAATGGCCTACATTTTTCAAGCTTTTAACAAATTCCAAACTATTTTTGACATCAAATTAATATGAATATAATTAAAGAAGAATACTCATTAAATAACACTTGTTAAAATTAACAAGAACTTTTATTTTGCTTCACTATAATTACTAAATAATATACATATAAATAAAAAAAATAAATTCTTAGAAATTTTAATGTTATTATTTTTTTATGGGAGAAAGTTTGGTTTAAACATTTGAATATTAAATTAAATCTGTTTAGAAAATTACCCGAGTAAATCAGTTAGTAGGTAAAGAGTGAAATTATATAAAATGAAGATCGAAGAAAATTATACTATAGGCTGCTTTCTATTTCTATACTAGGCAACCAATATACAGGGTGTCTCATTAATATGTGTAAGTTTTTTAAGGAGTCGTATAGATCTGGACAAAAGAAACTATATTTTCTATTTACCATTTTTAAAATAAATTAAAAATATCCATGAGTAACTTACATTGAAATTTAAAAAAAATAACGCTTACATTTTGGGAATCGTTTTTTCGTTTCATTTTAATAAAATATTGTTATAAAGGTACAATATGATCGAAAAAAAAAGACAGCGTCAGCGATGAAAATGAAACGAAGATAGCTGTCATTTTATATGTAAACTTATATGGGGAATCTCACTGATGTTCATTTTCAAGCTAACTAGACGCTGTTTTTTTTTTCGATCATACTGTAGTATAAAATCTATTAAGAGACTGTCTAACATATAAGAATATATTATATCATAAAAAAAGAGGCATCACAGTAGCCTATGAAATGACACCGATAATATATAATTTCTGTCTTGAATATAAAACCCGTATGGACGGCACTGTTTGAAATAAATAAAATTCTTTGTACACCAAAACAAATATTTTAATGCATAGAAGACGTGTATCAAGTTTCATAAGGATATCTGTAATAAAATCAGAGTTATTATTAAAAAAAATTTTTTATTTTGGAAACTTTTTTACCACCCTGTATCTCAGAAATTAGGATTTTTAGGACATACATTCATATGAAGTTTTTCTCTTAGAATTGGTCCAAGAATCGCCTCTTTAAATATTAGCATGTCATTAAGGAACACCTTGTATGTAGTTCATTAAAAATAATATAAAAATGTATAAAAAAGTCTATAGCTTCTAGACACAAATCTACATATTTCCAAAAAATAATTATTATTACTAAATTGCGTCTGACTGATTTTACAAGTTTTACAATTTTTTACTTAAAAAAGTATTGTTTTTTCTATTTCACTACAATGTAAATTAAAAAAAAACATAAAAAAGACTTAAAATAGATTTTTTTTGTACTTACAAAACTTCCATAACTTCGCAACCCAACAAAAGTTTCCTAGGACCCAGTTCCACAACAGCTATAGTCTGATCATGAAAATAAACCATCCTCATAGAATTCTTGTTAGCCCTCCAACCACTGTACCTCTTCAAACCCTTACTTTCCTCCCCATTCTGCGCCCAAGAACCAGTGAACCTCCCGAACCTAAAGGAAGGGTTCCCATCGGCACTTTGACCAAGTACCATCAGAAAACCCATCCACAACACCAAGGAAAAGCAAAAGTTTTCGATTAGGGACATGTTTCGGTGGTACAACGCAAATGCATAGTAGTACCAAGGCGGTTAAACGGTGTGGTACCTTAAATTACTGCTGCGGTACCTCGCGCGTGTTCTCGCTTAAACTGAATCAATTTAAAATGAGGTTTTTCTTTAGGAAAGTGAATGGTATAGTATAGGCTGTACAGTACTGGGTACTAGATCAGTGGATTTCTCGTCTAATTTATATGACGTAGCTTCTTGTATTTTCCGAAGATCGTCTGCCGTTGGTAATACCAAGAGTTCCCTGTATGGATTTTTGAATGACGATATTCCATAAGTTATTTCCACAAATTCTTTAAATCATATTTAGGATATTTTTAAGTATTTGTATTTGTTATTAATATGAACAAATATATTTTTTCGTCTTGTAAATTTTTGAGTAGCAAAAAAAAATTGACGTGATCATTTTAATGACTTTGAGTGAATGACGTTACATTTTTTTTACGTCAAAAACCTTCCGGACTTTTGTGTGAAAAATTTGATACAGGGTGTCCCATTTTCGTGTGCTTTATGAGGTTTCTCGTTTATGAGTAGAGATACAGAGATATAGTTTTCACATTGCTATGCTATTTTTTTATGAAACTATTCAATGAAAATGGCAGATCCCAGCGAAAAACTAGTTACGCCACTGGATTCTACGTGAAAAACTCAGTTTTTACCTTTTCGATAAGTTATAAAATAACCGAGATTCTGTATTTCAGGAACTAAGAGGGTTAGGTGTGAAAACCGCATTTTTGTATCTCATAAACGAGAAACCCTGTAAAACATACGAAAATACTCTCTGT